TTGCTTTCAAATATAGTTACTATATAGCTTTGACCATGTGGTGAGTGACCGAATTTGGGGTAGGGGGATATCAGGATAAACTCCCTTATCTTTTCAAATAGTGCCATGGGACGTTTAACCTAGACAGACAGGACTTCAGTTTAATGGCCCATCCAAAATGGCACCTCCGACAATGTAGAGCTCCCTCAGCACTGCACTGGAGTGTCCGCTTAGACTGTATGAGTTCCAAGTCCCAAAGTAGAGCTTGAACCTACAACCTTCTGACTCAGAAGCAAGAGTGCTAACTGAGCGAGACTAACACACAAATAACCAAGACCCCACCAGTAGCCATAATGTAAATGACCAATTTATCTGGAGTACAAGATATTGTACTGGCCAATATGATTGTTGGCCAGTACAAAGGAGAATATTTTGAATATTGTCTGAGATCTTTTAATGTCCACCTGAACAGAAAAACAAGACCTTGATTCCAGCATTTCATCGCAAGGGATGCAGCTCTGACAATACAGTGCTCTCCCAGTAGTGCACAGTTGTATCATTCTGGGCTATGTATTTGAGTCTTAATTTGGTATTTAAGACAAGGCAGAGAATGCTATCAAGTGACCCAATGCCATCAGCCAGACCATTTAACAAGAAGCATCTGCGGTGCAGTATTCTAGTTTGGATGCTGCACAGATAGAAGGTAGCTCTAATGTTTGCTTTTCTTTCTTTGCAACCAAGATTTCCAAATGTCAGCCATTAGTCACAGCTGTTGCGCAAACACAGTATCACACAGATCCCAGTGTGATGTGATATTTAAATAATTTGTGGGCTTAACTGTGACTGTTTAAATCCCATCATCATTGAAGTGCAGCATCACCCGAAAACCCATGTGCTATCTATTTATATCAGAGTTCATCACAACTGCAAATTTTAAATCCATGATACTTCTTCACCCTTTTAAGAGATTAAATCCATGATAGTTTTTTCACCCTTTTAAGAGATTCGCAGACCTCGAAGCCTGAAAACCTATTCAAAAAATAATTAAGCAAATTAGCATGTATGTATGTCGCATACTATACCTTATGCTGCAGACATCAAGAATGGGTGCACCTTACAAGAAGGTACTGCTGGTTTCATTGCAGTCAACTCGAAGATTTGACTGAATGTGCGAGAAATAGTATCTGCCTTAAAGTGAAAATAATAATAATAATCCTTGCATTTGATATAGCATTTTTCACATCTTCTAGATATCTCAAAGCACTTCACAGAATATGCTGTAAAGTGAATTGACTGTATATTTGTGGGCGAAACGCGGCAGCCAATTGCGCACAGCAGAGTCCCACAAACAGTCGTGGATTGAAAATGACCAACTTATTATTGTTTTGTTTTTTGGAGGGATTATTATTAGGCGTGTGGAGTAAGGAAACTTGCCCAAGGTTTCGCCCTCTGCCTGGAATTGAACCCAGGTGTCTCGCTTGCAAGGCGAGTGCTCTAACCACTGAGCTACAGGACTCCACAAAAATAATCATTTGGTGTTGCGACACTACAGAAATGATGTTACGGTCGAAGAATTCTGATCAGCTGAGGATTTCACTGCTTGCTTGTAATACAATAAAAATAATAATGCATGGATTTGATATCGCTCCTTAGACAGCTCAAAGAGCTTCACGGGACATACTGTAAAGCAAATTAACTGTGTTTTGTAGACAAAAGTATAACTGGAGAGACATTATATCTGAACTGAAGCATTCATTCTGTCTAGCAACAATTATATCTGCCTTATTCACAAGCCTGAGCTTTGTGATAAATAGGAATACAATACCTAAACAAAATTAACCTGAATATTTGCGAGATAAAAGTGAAAATGGGTGGAATTCACATAAAAGGTGACTTTGGGAAATAAATTCAAACCTATTACAAAAAGATTTGTGGAGACTAGAACAAAGGAAAGGTAAATGGAACTTAACAATACTCTTAAATACTGAAAGTTCCTGCATCAAAAGAAGCCATTTCATCCATTACATCTGAGACAGTCTGCCTCTTTTTCTATATTGGCTTTTTTTAAATTCATCCCACTTCTAGCTTGCTCCTCCCATCTGCCAATACTTTTGCTACTCTCATGGTTATGCAGTTCCTTTATCAACAATTCTATTGATCCAATCTCATTGAAGTCCATAATAGCCCAACAATCCTCTGAGCGAAGGCACCCCTCACCAAAACTTCCCCTCCCCCAGATAAAATTGGTCCTTGACTTCATGGCTGTTTGTAAGATACTACAAACTGGTTGCCATGTTATAATAATAATAATACTAATCCTTGCATTTGATATAGCGCTTTTTCACGTCTTCTTGACGTCTCAAAGCGCTTCACAGAATAGACTGTAAAGTGAATTGACCGTATATTTGTGGGCGAATATTTACGTTTATGTTCACCTACATATATAGTTAAAGCTGGACAGAAACTCTGCAAATATTCTGAGGCATTGACATTACAATATCAAATCATAACTTTTCTTAATTTTTTTAAAAATTGCTCTAATTTACAAAAAGGGGCAGAAGGACAAATCTGGGAACTACAGGCCAGTCAGCCTAACATCAGTAGTGGGGAAACTCCTGGAGACTATAATCCGGGACAGAATAAATTTTCACTTAGAAGAATATGGGTTAATTAGGGACAGCCAACACGGATTTGTTAAAGGCAAATCTTGTCTAACAAATCTAATCGAATTTTTCAATGAGGTAATGGAGAGGGTGGATGAAGGCAGTGCAGTAGATGTAGTTTATACGGACTTCCAAAAGGCATTTGACAAAGTGCCACATAAAAGACTTGTAGGAAAAATAGAAGCCTATGGTATAAAAGGGACAGTGGCAGCATTGATCCAGAACAGGCTGGGTGACAGAAGGCAGAGAGTTGTGGGGAACGTCTGCTTTTCTGACTGGAGGGAAGTGTACAGTGACGTCCCCCAGGGATCGGTATTAGGACCACTGTTCTTAATATATATAAATGATCTGTACTTGGGTATAGCAAGTACCATTTCCAAGTTTGCAGAAGACGCAAAGTTAGGTAGGATAGTAAACAGTGAGAAGGATAGTAGCCAACTGCAGGAAGACAGAGACAGAATGGTAAAATGGGCAGACACATGGAGATGAGTTTCAATGTGGAGAAATGCGAGGGAATGCATTTTGGCAGAAAGAATGAGGGGAGGCAATATAGGCTGGTAATACAATCTTAAGTGGGGTAAAAGAACAGAGAGACCTGGAGGTTCAGTAAATGAATCCTTGAAGGTGTCAGGACAGGTAGATAAAGCTGTAAAAAGGGCATATGGGATACTAGGCTTTATAAATAGGGGCATAGAGTACAAGAGTCAGAAGGTTATGATTAACCCATATAAAACACAGTTAGACTACTGAGCCCAGTTCTGGGCACCACACTATAGGAAGGATGTTAGGGCATTGGAAAGGGTACAGAGCAGATTTACAAGGATGGTACCAGGAATGAGGGACCTTGATTATGAGGAAAAGGTAGAGAGGTTAGGATTATTCTCATTGGAGCAGAGAAGGTTACGAGGAGACCTAATAGAAGTTTTCAAAATCATGAGGGGATTTGATAGGTTAGAAAGGGAAAAACTGTTTCCAAAGGTGGGTGTGTTGGTGATTCGAGGTCACAGATTTAAAATAGTTTCTAAAAGCAGAGGGGAGGTGAGAAGAAATTTTTTCACGCAGCGAGTTGTTTGAATCTGGAACGCATTGCCTGAAAGGGTGGTCGAGGCCGATTCGATAACTACTTTTAAAAACGTGGTGGATGGTACTTGCGGAGGACGGGTTTGCAGGGTTATGGGGAAAGGGCTGGGGAGTGGGATTGACATTACATTGCTCTTTTCAAAGAGCCGGCACAAACTCAATGGGCCGAATAGCCTCTTTTTTGTGCTGTACAATTCCATAATTTTTAGCTTCTCTTCATGTGCATTGACTTGGCTTGGTCTGGGGGTGTGCTGCATTGTTGGAGGTCCTGTCCTTTGGAATCAAATGTTAAAACAAGGCCCCATCTGTGTTTTCAGGTGTACGTTAAAGATCTTGTGACACTATTCAAAAAGAAATGGGAAGTTCCTCCTGGTGTTCCGGACAACAAACTCCAGATAAAAGTGGCCATTCATTTCATGGCTGTTTGTAGGATATTGGTGTACACAAAATGTGCTGCTGCATTTGCCTACACAATGCAGTCACTACATGTTCCAGTGAAAATCCAGGGTTTGTCAGCAATTAAATTACGTTTGTAGCCCAACGGTAAATAAAGCAAATCCTTTGAGATGTTTTGAAGAAGCGCTCCATCAGATTATTTGTTTTGTTGATTATCTGACAAGATTAGGTGGCGGCATGGAGGGAAGCATTGGGTAGATTCTTAGCTTCACTTGTGGATTCTGTGATTTGCTTAAAAGAACAAAACCTGCAAACCCCTTTAGCCATGGTTTCAGTCATCTCCCCCCTCCCGCCCATACCCCACTCCAGCTTGGGTGCCCACCCAGTAGTGTCAACTGCTTTGGGGCATCCTGTCTGATAATGAAAGGCGCCATATCAATTTTATACAAATACTCCTCCAAACTCCTCATATTTTCTTTTCCCTGCAAAGTATTTTTTAAAATAAACACACAGAAGTGTTTCTGCAATTGAGTAAATGTGGGACAGTGAGAGTGCGGTTGTCCAGGGTTTGTCAGAAATACGTTTGCAGCCCAAAGGTAACCAAATACTAGCCCAATATTATGCATTGCTTCCTATATGGGTAGGTGAGCAATTTATGTTAGTGATTTTGAAACTGTCAAATGGGAAAGAAAGTTTTGCAGGTTTAATTTTTTTCTTAGGCGCAGTACAACCCGCCCAAATGGGCGTGAAAACCGCCTAATCTGCCCACTGTGGTTCGCGGCGGTTGCCCGTGGCGCTCCCGCGCAGGGAGAGTGGCGCGCGCACGTGCCGCTTTCAAATCCATTCCATCCCCGGGAAAAGTTCTAAAAATAGCTCGAGCCGCTTTCCTCGGGGCGCGCGATGATTGGCCGGCGCCGCTCACGTGCCCAGTCCCCAGCAGTCAGCCTCCCCCACCGCCCTGCGCGCGGGCTTCGCTGCTCCGAGCGCTTGTTGTTCAGTGCGAGTGTGAGCGAGGAGAGCAAAAAACATGGCGGGCTTCTTCGTTCGGCGCGGACGCTGAATTTCTTCGCTTCTTGAAAACTCTTTCCTTTCCCCCCCTTCCTCCTCCTTCTCACAGCTGCTACTCCGGTAAGGCGAGCTCCAGAGCTTTTCCGTGCTTGTTTTGTGTGCGCGTGTATGTGTGTTCGCCTTTTAAAAATATCTTCCACCGAGCCCTCCCTCTCCGAACTCACGTTCCCCACCTCAGGCCCTACTGCCGCCGCAAACGGTTATTTGAATGTGTTTTGGGTGAGGCATTAAACGCCGGGTTATTCCAGTTAAAATAAACTCTGCATTTGCTCGCTCTCTTTTCTCTTTCTGCTCCGACGCGCAACGGTGCTTACAGTTTCCCTCCCACACCTACCGCTCCAGGCGAGCAGCTCGTCAGACATTTACTATCGACAGCAACCCAACTTCATAGCGGAAGTAGCCGGCTGCCAGGGTTGATTGACGGCCCCACTATCAAATGAGCGTCTGGGCTCTGGGATGTTTGGGGCCGTACTATTACATGATGTCCAATCAGAGCGCTCGCGTGGATTGGGGGCGGGTCTTCTGGATAGCAAAGGTAGGTTGAAGCGAACGGGCGGGGGAGCTTTAAAGCGAGAGTTGCTCCCAGACTCTGCAGCAAGTGCAACGTCGGGGCACAATCCTTCCGAGGAACCCTTCAGATCTTGTTAAATGAAACCAAGATCATCCCGAGCTATTAGCGAAATCCATCCCGTCCAACCGTCCTTACTGAGCGCCAGATTAAAGCGAGATAGCATAGACTCAGCATAAACTAAACTGAGGAGGAGGCTGGAATGATCAGTCGAATAAGATATTTTTGAGTTTTTATCTCTTCGCAACCCCCACCCTCCCGTAAGAAGTTCAGCATGCAGCGGAACAGCAGTTGGGAATGACTAAACAGAGGGTGTGGTTTTTACAGTGGGTAAATTGTTGTTTTGGAAGGTTGGCACAGAGGTGAAATGGGATCTCCACAAAGACAGGGAAAATAATAACAGGGACCCTAGATTATGTTGGAATTACAACTAAGCCTATCTACATTAATGGATACTTTGAATATTGATCAGGAGTGGGAATCATGAATGATTTTCCACCCCTTTATCTTATCTTTGGAACACTGTGGCCAGAAGTAGTACTATACAAACTAGCATAGACTAATGATTTTAACTTTCTTGATGTATTTACTGCAGTACCTATTCCTGTGTTTTAATGATTTATGCTTTATTTCGGAATGGCGTATTGGAGATGGTTTGTGAAGATGCTTAAAAGGGAGCCACAACAATTTGTACTAGCACCTTTTGCATGTGGTAATATATTGATTGCGTGTGGTAATGTATTGAAAGTGTTTCAGAGATCTATGGGAATTCAAGCAAGTGGTTGTGGTGAGGAGATAACAGAGGGTTTTAAGTAGAGTTTTGAAAATGGGCATAGGAATTTTTGGAACAAAGTTCCAAAAAAGTGTGGTGTAGTGGCTAAATAGTATTGAGAAGTAAGTGTCAATCAAGGGTGTGGGGAAATGGAATTACTTTTGCCATGATAAAATACTCTGAGACACTTTCTTGCTTGAAGAGTGCTATATAAATGCAAGTTGTTGTGGAAACAAATAGAAGAGGCTCAATGCTTTGAATGGCTTCCTCCTGTTCCTATGCTAATGTAATAATCCTAGCATTTGATATAGAGCCTTTCATGTCCAGAGGATGCTGCAATGAGCTTCATAAGCTATAATGTAAAGTGGAGTGACTGTGTGGTTTATGGGCGAAGTTACTGTGGTTTATTTTAAGGGATAGTCAGATAATATTGTAAGGTTTTCCTGTCTTATGTTTTTTGTTATAGTGTCTGGACCCAAGGGGCATTCCAGACAATCTTGGGATGACTAAAATGTTAAATTTCATCATCCCATATAATTCAGTAAATGCCACCCAAGCTTATAAATGCAACAATCCCTAGTCACAAAGCATTATACATTGAGGAGAGAGCTCATCAATAGATTTTATACATTTCCTAGTGGAGCATTTGCATCTTGTGGGGATTATTAGTATGTGGGTGCATTCTTTAGCTCTCAAAATGCTGGTCTTCCTTGAATCCAAAGTCGAGGGAATCCGCTCAGCTGCCTCTGGCACTGCAACCACTACCTCCTCCTCCCACCCCAGCCTCTACCCACCCCTTCCTCTACACCCCTGAACCTGGCTACCCCTCTCTCATTACCACCTTAACCCGTATGAAACCCACCACCTGCTCCCTGGACCCCATCCCTATGCCCCTCCTTACCCCTCTACTCACTGACATACACTGACATACTCACTGACATACCCTGTCCTCTGGTACTATACTCACCCTTTTAAAAACTGCTGTCACCATTCCTATCCTTAAAAAACCCTCCCTAGACCCTTCTCTACTCCCTAACTTCCGTCCTAACTCCTACCTCCCCTTCCTCTCCAAGGTCCTGGAACGAGTTGTTGCTTCTCAGCGTCGCGCCTTCCTCTCTTGCCACTCCCTTCTTGAACCCCTCCAATCGGGTTTCCACAGCACAGAAACCACCCTGGTCAAAGTGACAAATTACATTCTGTCCATCTGCGACCAGGGCTCCCTCTGCCTCCTTGATCTTTCTGCTGCTTTCGACACTGTTGACCACTCTATCGTCATTCACCACCTCTCTCACTTCAACCTCCACGGTGCTGTCCTTGATTGGTTCAAATCATACCTCTCACACCCACTTCATCTCCTCAAATGGCGTCTCATGTGATGTTCCTCAGGGCTCTGTCCTTGGTCGCCTCTTCTTCAATATCTATCCTCTTGGTGACATCATCCTCAGACATGGGGTCAACTTCCACATGTGTGCGGATGACACCCAACTCTATCTCTGCCTCCACCCTTAACTCTAGGACCACTGCTGTGCTGACAGACTGTCTCAGACATCAAGTCCTGGATGAGAGCTAACTTTCTTCAGGCTCTCCTGATTGGCTCCCATCAGTGCATCCCCACCTTGGGTGTTGACAGTATCACCATCCTTGGTTACACACTCCACCTTGCTAAACCAGTCCTGAACCTTGGGATCTTGTTTGACCCTCAATTATCCTTTCTATCCCACATCCATGCCATGACGCACTCTGCCTTTCCCCACCTCCACAATGTCGCCTGGCTCCGACACTGTCTCACACCACAGGCCGCCGAAATCCTCATACACGCCTTCATTACATCAAGGCTCGATTATGCAAACTTACTGCTTGTCGGCCTCCCCAACTCCTCCCTCCACAGGCTACAGATCATCCAGAACTCTGCAGCCGGTGTCCTCTTCCGCACTAGGCTCCGTGACCCTATCACCCCCATCCTTGCCCAACTCCATTGGCTTCCCATCACACAGAGGATACAGTTCAAGATCCTGGTCCTCACCTTCAAAGCCCTCCATGGTCTTGCTTCCCTTTAACTTTTCTATTCTGTGGAACACTTTGAGATGTCTGGAAGATGTGAAAAGCGCTATATCAAATGCAAGAATTATTATTATCTCTCCGACCTTCTAACCAACCCCCTACCATCCTGTTCGCTCCCTCCGCTCAGCGGGCTTTGGCCTGATTCACGTCCCCAGCCTTGCTTGCCCCACTATCGGCAGGCTCTGCCGCTCTGCACCCACCCTCTAGAACTGCATCCCGCAGTCCCTCCGTCTCGCCCCCTCCCTTGTCATCTTGAAGACCCGCCTCAAGACCCTCCTCTTCGACTGCTTTCGATCTCCCTGCTTCCCCCCGCTCCGACCCTCAGCTCGGGTCCGTAACTCTGTCTGTCCAGTGCCTTGTGATGTCCTCCCGATGTGAAAGGCGCTATATAAATGTAACTTAGTTGTTGTTCAAAATGACTTGATATTTAAACATGAAAGTTGTTTTAATAAAAAAGAAAGTGGACCAGGTCCCAAACACTCACATTTTACTCGGGTGTCTAAGCCTTTTTTAATGTACAAATCCTAGTGAAACTTCAAAGATTACGAGGTCCATTGTAATTTTCTTTTTAAAAATAAGATGAATCTCAATTGTCTATTATTCAGCAAGCTACCCATGAACTTTAGAAGTGAAATGTTTAGTTTTGCATCAAGTGAATTCTCTGTGTTGGAAATGCTGTTTTTCAATTTGAATTAACCTTTCACCAATTCACTGAATTACAACTTCAATCTTGTTGGTTTGTGATTGCAGCTGTCTTTAAAATGTGTTGGGAGTAAGATTTTTAATTCAAACTTTGGTTTTGTGAAGGAAGCAAAACTTAATTATAATAATTAAATACTTATATGACAACTTTTCACATTGGGAGGATGTCTTGAAGTGCTTCACAGAATATAGTGTAGTGATTATTTTGTCAATTCACTACTGTTTTGTCAATTCACTTCTGACTCTGTGATGAGAGTGCTACCACCTGAGCCAGGCTGACACACAATTTTAGTAACATCACAGAGATGATGGAATTTTATCAAGCGGATTGTATATAAAGGTATCAGTTACGTTATTCTTTCTGTGCAGCAAATAGTAAATCTATGCTGAATTTGAAAACTGATTAAACATTTATTTGGAAGATGAGCCACTTATTTGGTGTGCTTGAAAGCTTGCAGAAATATACATGAACCAGAGTAGGAATAACTTATTTTTTCTAAATAGATTGATAGTGTTAGAAAATACTTCAATTTTTCCCCTCAATACCGCAACTCTTAGCTTATTTGGGCTAAATAACTAGTACTTAACTATTCATTTGTTTTCCTTTATTTACTTGTTCTAAATTACATTTGCGCAGTTGGAATAAACAGCGAATATTTGTGTATTTTATAAATTAATATGTAAGGATAAAGAGTTCCAAATTGCCTTCTGAATAATACTAATAATAATCTTGCATTTGATATAACATCTTATCACGTCGTTGAGACGTCCCGAAGTGCTTCACAGAATATACTGTAGAGTGAATTGACTGTTTATTTTTGTGGGCGAAACGCGACAGCCAATTGAGCACAGCAGTGACCCACAAACAGTTGTGGATTGAGTGACCAGTGATTGACTTAATTTTTTTTTGAAGGGATTATTACCGACTTAACAACCAGGTTCCTACTTACTGCTAGG